AATCTCAAATTCTTTTAAAACAAACACAAAATAGGCCTCCTAAACTGCTCATGACAGACAGCTCCCAAACACTACTGCTTGAGATACTCTTCAAACCTGCAGTCAAAATTAACCATTTGGCTCAAAAACAATGAACATCACCCCAAGTACTGTGCTCCTTTAAAAAAAACTTTACAAAATGAGACCAGTCAACAGTTACTTCAACACAAAGATGAGAATGTAGGGGAGAAAGGAACCTCGTCAGATGCCAAGTCAGGTCTGAGGCATTAGCAACCCCCCAGAATGAAACGCTGTGGGCTACTGCACCATCTTCAAAAAAATCATGGGCGGGGGGCCGTTGTTGTAGCCACTGGGTCCATCCATCTCCTTGAGGGTCGATGGTCTTCCTCTTTTCCACAGACACTTTACTTTGCCCGACCTTGATGTCCATCTCCAGGAACGCTGCCTCTAGTGACATCTCCAAAGTCCGTGAGATGAAATCCTGTCCCTCTCACGTCTAACACTAGCTTTCTTCCCAAAGAGATGGGTAATTCTTCTCACAGCCCATGGCATATTTCAGATTCTTCCAGCCGGCACCTTAACTCAAAGGCATGATTCCTTCTTTGGTCTTCCTCGCTCACTGGCCTGCTTTCACAGGCATATGAGGTAACTGAAAATACCATGGCCTGTATTAGATATACCTTCAAAGTGACATCTTTGCTTTCAGACAATGGAAAGAGATCTTTTGCAGATTTTCTTAATGCATTATATGGTTTTATTTTCTGACTACAACTTCTATGGATGATGATGATTGTGTGTGTGTGTGTGGGGGGGGGGGGGGGGGACTAGGTTAATGGAAATGAAACGCCCAGCGCGAAAATGAGAATATCTGTGCACTGTGAAGAATATCACCAAAGCAACTTGTGTAGAAACTGTTGAACAGTGAGATAGTTAACATTTATTGTGCCAACATGGCCGATACACACATGTGGGATTAATTGAAGGGTGGAGAGATAAATGGCTCGGCAAGCCTCATCTTTCTTGTCTCTTGCTCTTTGATGATCGGACCAGTATGCAGCTGCCTTGCTTGTTCTTTGCCTCAATTTGCAAGCTACACTACCTGTGGGACACCTAAGCCATGGACTGTGTCGCTGTAATTTGAGGTTCCTTCAAGACCTGCTTCCCCAGACCATTGGAATTTATATCTCTTGAGCTGGGGACTGTTGGACTCTGTCATCTGGCTAACTGTTGGTGACCTACCTGCCTTGCTGTTTACTGCCTGTGGATAGCCTGACTTGCTCTACAGAGGACTACCCGGCGGCCCTAGAAGGACTGCTAGTGTCTCACAGCTGTCTCACAGGAGTGAGTTGCACTGAGCCATTTGTACTGCTTTATAGGTTAATCAAGTGTTTATTTCTTCTGTTACATATATATATAATTATTAGCGTTCTGGTTCTGTTTCTCTAGAGAACCCTGTATGTATGTATGTATGTGTGTGTATATATATACGTATATAATTATGAGCGTTCTGGTTCTGTTTCTTTAGAGAACCCTGTCTAACAAAAACAGGAACCTAAGCTACTATGTATCCACATTCACTAAAAACACAATTTACAAGAAGCCCACAGTGGGGTGTATATGCTCAAACGTGGGAGCAACAACAGCATTTGTAGAGAGGCTGGAAACAGCATCAACTTCCAGGTGAAGAAGCCAGTGTGGCAAGAGTGATCAGAGCAAACAGTAGTAGAGAGATATTCCTCAACAAAAAAGTGTTTAAATGCTACATTAAAGCAGGAGGGAAACATCATAGAACCTTCAGTGAAAAGTAACAAAAACAAAATGGCTTTCTTGTCAGATCGGCCTAAGAGTCAATAGTGGGACCAGCCTGAGAAGGGAGAGACTGATTTCCAGAACAGTACCCAGGGTACTGAAAAAGGCTTACCTGTAGCTTCCCAAAGGTACTTAATGCAATAAACAATACAAAATCTAGTCAAGTCTCTATTACAGGAGCACAACACATGTCTAATTTTAAATTAAAAAGAAACACACACACACCCAGAACAGACAGACAAAAATGGCGCTGCATAGATTTGAAAAATGGTCAGCTTTGCCTTTCAGAGAAGTCTGGGCCAAATAGAGGATCCCAGCTGCTAGCTGATATTTTTGCAGGAACCAAGTGGGGGCAGGGAAAGACGTGGCCTGCTGCTTACCCACCACCCCCACCCCCATTTCAGAGAATCAGAAGAGAAGTAGCAGATGTCACAGTGTAAAAAGCCACAAGGCATTCCTGTCCTTTCTTCCCTGTATTCAGGCTGAGCAGCTGGGCCCTGAAGAGAGAAGGCCGGCAAAGGGCAGGAAGGAAACAGCTGTCATCTGCAACCTCCCTTGCAAGCCATGAACGAGGATCCTATGGTGACCCGTCTTGCCTGCACTTCCACGTCTTCTAGATCTTATTTGTAGTTGGGACATCTAGCAAAAGAACTGACTCACTAAAATGAAATAAGGAAGGCTATTTCTGTAACGGGACACAGGCAATTCCTAGGATGAACAATTCCAAGGACCTATTCCATTTCCTCCTGCAACTCGAGATCTCAGAACTAAGACAAAGGAGCAATAATCCAGAAGATCAATTTAAATTGGGGAAATGAGGGAGGCACAAAAATTGCTAGTGGGATACCCACTGCCCTCCAGTCGATTCTGACTCACAGAGACTGCATAGGACAGAGCAGAACTGACTCTGGCCTCCTGCGACTGTAAATCTGTATGGGAGCTGAGAGCCTCCTCTCTCCCCCTTGCAGAGGCTGATGGGTTTGAACCACTGACCTTGTGGCTTGCAGCACAACCCATAACCGTACCATGCTCCTTTATAATAGGGCAGAACCAAACAAATGGCCTAAGAGCACTTGGTTGGTGGTCCTATTAAAAGATTTGTCTCGGGTACAAAATATAAAAACTCCACAAAAACGTAGGCATGTGAAAGAACTAGTCCAGGCTGACCAAATAATTTTAACATGTTGGTGACCTATCACGTTCAGAGTGCTTTCTGCCTGAAGGGTGGATCTTTTCCCTTAGAACTGGGGTCCTCAAACTTTTTAAACAGGGGGCCAGTTCACTGTCCCTCAGACCCGTTGGAGGGTTGGACTATAGTTTTAAAAAAAAACTCTGAACAAATTCCTATGCACACTGCATACATCTTATTTTGAAGTAAAAAAACAAATAGGGCAAAATCACCCGGTGCGCCGGATAAATGTCCTCTGCGGGTTCCGGGCTGTAGTTTGAGGATGCCTGCACTTAGAACACTTCCTTGATCACTTTAAACCCCAGCCTATCTCGGAGGCATGGTGTGCAGTTTGCTCTAGTTGACAGAGGGCTGGTAGTGCTTATTCTTATGGACCAATAACTATAAAGGAGGAGATGTCAAAGCTATGCAGGATTCCCTAAACTGACAATTCTGAGGGAAGCCACGTTTAAGCACAAGGATGACACTGCATTTTCAGATATCTGAAGGGGGGGAAAGTGAGCAGAAATCTTCCAGACAAGTCTCTAACCAAGATGGATGCCGTAGTCAGCCTAGACTAACTTCCCTTTACCACTTTAGGCTATAATCTGGCTGCTTATATTGAGGGTGGAAAATAGGTTTCAACTTGAGTCAATTGATCAAGGCTGCCAGGAACAGTATTTGGAAAAATATTTAGGAGCCACATCCAGACTCAAGGAGGAAAACTGCAATGATTGATTGTCAACGTCTACAATGGACAGGAGAGGAGGGGAAATTGATAGTGCATGTAGTAAGAGTTTGTCAGAGGAAACATCCCTTTTATTTTCTAAAAAGAAAGGAAGAAATCCATTCTTGGGATCAGATTAACTTTTTATACAGAGAAAATCTACACATGAGTTTCAAAAATACCCCAAAGGGGAATAGTGCCCAGCAAAATTATTTACCGATTTACCGTCGGTCTTGAAGGGAAAATATAACCTGTGTGGCATTTAAGTCCTTCTAGTCATTCTCCTCACAGAGCCCTGGTGGTAGAGTGGTTACATGTTGGGCTGTGAACCACATGGTCAGCTGTTCAAATTCACCAGCAGCTTCAAGGTAGAAAGACTACTCCCATAAACAGTTACCATCTTGGAAACCTACAGGACTCACTCTGAGTCAATGGCAGCAAGTCATTCTCCCCACAGTCAGCTGAACGTGCTAGACCAGAGTCAAATCAGACCAAGGGCCAACTACTGCCTGCTGCTTCATTACCTAGGGCCCACGAGCTAAGAACAGTTTTTAAAATGATAACCAAGTGGAAAATACATAACAAATACTATTTCAAGACATATAAACATTGTGAAATTAAAATTTCAGTTCCCATAAGGATTTATGGAAACAGAGCCACACCCATTTAAGTATATATTGTCAGTGGCTGACTTAGTGCTATCAGGGCAGCATTGAGAAGTTGTAACAGAGACCCAATGACAGGCAAAGCTAAAATATTTACAATCTAGCTTTTTCTTGAACAAAGCTTGATCTCTGCTCAAAGAGCCCTAAAATTCCTGCAAGCTATCTCACTCACTCTCTTCCCTCTAGTGGATGCTGACTCATAGCAACGCTATAGGACAGGTTAAACCTGCCCGCTGTGAATTTCTGAGACTGTACCTGTTTAAGGGAGAACACCCCATCTAACTCCCTCAGACAGGCTGGTGTTTTCAAATTGCTGACCTCAAAGATTGCAAGCCTACTCTTAACCACTGTCAACAGGTCTCCTTGCCTCGAAAGACAAGCCAAGTCATTTTCTATAGTTAGGATACTGAGTCCAGTAAAGTTTAGAGCAACTGCGTCTCATCCTCCTGAATAAATGCTTCTATCACATAGAGAACATGAAAAAGTTTGCTAAGGCTCTCAAAAAAGTGTCACTCTTTTGAAAAAAGGTGAATGAATGAAGTCTACAACTCAATTTTAACTTTTTAAAACAACAGTTTTGAAAGTAGATGCCCCCTCCCCCCCACACACACACACAATATTTTAAACATACTTTTATTGTTTTGGTTTGAAGTCTCAATCCATTCAGCGTGTTGATAGCTTTTTCTGCATCCTTAGGATCAATGTAGTTCACAAAGCCATATCCCAAGCTCTGTCCTGATGGAAGAGAAAGGGGAAAAGGCATATTAGTTCTATGCCACTGACAGAGATCCCCTTTCATTTTGGCACAAGGTCCTTGTAACACTAGCGTATATTCTCAAAGCAGAGAGAACTCTGGATTAATTTTTCTAGAAATATACATGTGGCCTTTTCGCCAGCTCCTTCTGACTACATTTGCAAGTTAAACACCAGTTAGCACTCTCAGCAGACAGCGCATGCATCCCCAGAGGATTCCCACCACAAGGGCCTTGCCTGAGCCAGGACAGCGCCACTAGCTAAACCTCCCTCAGCTTCAGGAACTGTGGGTGCAAGTCTCCCACGAGCTGCTGAGTGGGCTTAGCAGGCATGGCCTTTGCAGCTTCGGTTTCTTTACCTATAAGTAGGGAGGGCTACAGGCATCAGTGTTCTGTTAATTAATTACCCTGACACATCTCCACCACTTACCAGATACAACGACTTCAGAGTCTTAAATGATGAAAGTGACATGGTGTATTTATATGTATACAGGGGGGCAGTTAAATAAAACTGGATCCAATTTTCTTAAAAAATGGGTTTTGAGTTCTGAACAAGGACTCAATGTACACTAGATGGCCAGGCCACATCAATTAGAACACGCAGAAGAAGAAGAAAATGAGATGAAAAACTGGAATTTAGAATAAGAGACACTTTTCAAGTAAGCCCCGCCCCCTGACACCATACCCACCCTTCTATCACCTGAGTCCTCTCACTTCTGCCTCCAACTCTCATATAGTACCCACAATTAAGTAGTGGGATGGAGATTTCAGAATTGAATTCAAACTTAACTCATATTAAAGCCAAGTCTAAATGCATCGACTTTTCAACAAATGGGAAGTTTCTTGATTTGAAAAAGGAGAAACACCTTTGGTGACAAACCGGGCTCAAGAAGTTTCATCTACTAAAAATCAAATATAACTAGTGGAAGATTTCCTGGGAGAAATGCAATAGAAGTCCAAATGATTTTGTTAAATACTGTTTCTGCAACAATTTATGTCATAGAGAGAGGAGCCCTGGGAGCGTAGCAGTTACTCATTGGGCTGAGAACCACAAAGTCAGCTGTTCAGAACCACCAGCGGCTCTTTGGGATAAAGACAGGGCTTTCTACTCCTGTAAAGAATTAAAAAGTCTCAAACACAGAAGGGCAGTTCTCCCCTGTCCTATAAGGTCACTATGAGCTAAACTCAATGGCAGTGAGTTTTCCTAATGTCACAGAGAAGTGAGAAATTTGGTTCTTGATAGAAGACCTCAGTGGCTATAAGTACACATATTTACAACAGCCACTGTGGCTTCTTGAATAGGTGGCTCATTACAACTACACAAAGAAGAAAGAAGGCTCGGTGAAGTATGTACCATACATACTCGAGTATAATCTGACCCACATATCAGCCGAGCACCTAATTTTACTACAAAAACTGCATTTCAAATGTGCTGAAAAACTCAGTTTATACACAAGTATATACAGTGAACCCTCATTTATCACGGTTAATCGGTTCTAGACCCTACCGTGATAAATGAAATTCCGCGAAGTAGGATTCCTTATTTGTAAATCAAATATTTTCGTAGTTAGAGCATAGAGGACATGAAAAAACACCCTTTAGTCACCATTACACTCGTATTACTCAATTTATTAAACGAAAAAGGGAAAATACAGTAAAACATTTTGGACGTTACAATTATCATTTATTATTTATTATATTATTTATGGCATCTAGTTTACAGTATTACATATTTCACATACAGTATTATTATACATAGTTCTTACAAATACTGTAATCAATAGCCTATGAAATGACTTAAGGGATGTACTCTACAGATGGGTTGCCGTCTTTTTCCTCTGAAGGAGCGGGTGTAGGCAGTGGGTGCTGTTACGCAAAAACCGCGATAGAGTGAAGCCACGGAAGTCGAAGCGCGAAGTGGCGAGGGTTCACTGTATGGCATATAATTGACAACAACAACAACAAAAACCCTTATGATTATGTTTGGAGAATTTCTAACATAATTTTGGATAATAAGCACTCACTTATGCCCTCTTATTGGCTTTTCTTAATTTTTTTTTAAGGTAAGTGTTGAAACAATACTTTTCCTCACATTAAAATTTGGATGTTTAATTCTACTCGGAGTTCTAACAGCAACAACAAAAGTAATGTGAAAACTACTGTATTTTTTAAGCATTCATGTCTAGTGCCATCTTAGGAAATAATGGCGCACCTCTATTGTCAATGAGCAGGATTTAAATGGACTGAGTATAACCAGATCTACTCAAGGAAGCCACCTATGACACAAAGAATATGAGCATGGAACAAACACTGGGTTCCAGTCCTGGCTCTGCCATTTACTAGCTGTGTGACTCTGAACAAACCACTTACCCTCTTGTTGTTGTTAAAATCATGACAGTTCCTCCCCAACCAGGTTGCTGAGGCAATGATGAAAACATTCATTACTGGTGGAAGTAGATGACCAAATAACTACATGGTAATTATTGGAGTTTTAGAGTATTCCTGAAGTCAGGAAGATGCTACAAATATAATGGGGGAAAGGAAAAGGCAAGCCAAATGTTGGGTAGTTTTGTCATACACAACATTATGAAGAGTCCAATTTTCCCTCCTACACGGTGGAAAGCACTAACTGTCCACCTGCATTTTAGCAGCTTTGAGTCACAATGTTCCTCCCCCTCCTCCTAAGCACTGAAATTATCTAGAAAGCTCAAAATTGATGACTGAGTCACGTTCCTGAAAATTCTGACACACTCATTGTTACAGGCTATCAAGGCAATTCTGAATCACAGTGACCCACTGCCATGCCCATGGCCCCATCGGTTTTTCTAGGCTGTAATCTTAAGCTCCCCCTCTCCATTGCAAGTGCTGATGGGTTTGAACCTCCAACCTTTCTGTGAACAGTCAAGTAAGTGTTCTGGTCATGCTTCTTGAAGCACTGGTCCTAGATTTTTACTTAAAATCTAACCTGCAGCTCAGGATGAGGATCATAGTTTTAATTATGCAAGAGGATCTATGGCTGGGAGTCGGGGGAGCTCCTGAGAGTCCAACGTGCTGAAGGTCTGGGTATGTTAAAACAACTGTTCTTTTTAACAAGAACATTGGACAGATAAGTGTGAGTGTCCTAAAATCTTCAAATTATCCATTTCTTCAGAGAAGTAATTTACTGGTCCACTTCAGACTTAGGAACAATAGCGCACACTGGTAAGAGGAAGAGCCTGTCTTGCTTAACCGTCCAACGCTGTGCTGAATTCTGAGTCTCTACTCCCAGGAAACCGTAGGCACTCAATGGTATGCTAAATAAATGAGAGGCTCGGCGTGACTGATTATTTATTTAATCAAATGTATGGCTTAAAATGCTCAGCTGCTAACCAAAAGGTTGGTGGTTTGAACTCACCAAGCAGTCTGAGAGAAAAGGGTATGTCAAGCCAGTAAAGATCGACAACCTTGGAAACCCCACAGAGTAGTTTGACCTTATCATAATGGGTCACTATCAATTAGAATCAACCTGATGGCAATGGGTTTGGATTGGGTTTTGCTATTATCCTCAATATCCCCAAGAGATGACCTGTCCACTCAATCACTGCTTCTTTGACCTGAACCCTAGAGCAATCATGGACAGCTATAATAATGAGTCAGTCAAATTTCTACTACCTGCAAATAATGAGTCAGTCAAATTTCTACTACCTGCAAGTTAATTATACTCTGACAAAAGCTGTCTCCAAATGACCTCTCCCACTTAGAAAGTTTTAGCTTGCCTAGCTGCATCACCAGGAAAATTCCATCATCAATTTTCAGAAGCATGTTTGAAGTAGTAAGCAAAATTTTACTATTATCCTAAGCAGAATAAGAAGAAAACGCTGTTTTATCTACTAAGTCCAAAGTTGTCGAGGCATTAAAATGTCGGCACGGGAACGACCTCCAAGAAGAAAGGAACTTTATAGGACTTTCATTTTAAAGTGAGTTAGTCAGGTCTGTAAATATTTTTTTGGATGTCCAAGCTATCTAAAGGCACCAGAGAAGATTCCAGGACAGGCAAGATGTCCTCAGTTCTTACCTTTCAGCTAGCTGGTTTTTACTGCTTAATTTTTTAAATCATTTTATTAGGGGCTCATACGACTCTTATCACAATCCATACATACATTAATTGTGTAAAGCACATTTGTACATTCATTGCCCTCATCATTCTCAAAACATTTCCTCTCCACTTAAGCCCCCAGCATTAGGTCCTCATTTTTTCCCTCCCTCCCCGCTCCCCCCTCCCTCATGAGCCCTTGATAATTTATAAATTATTATTTTGTCATATCTTGCCCTGTCCGACGTCTCCCTTCACCCACTTATCTGTTGTCCGTCCCCCAGGGAGGAGGTCACATGTAGATCCCTGTAATCTGTTCCCAAATCTTTCGCCTTTTACTGCTTAATGTTAACCTCACTAAGAGGCCCCCTAGTGGCAGTGGTTATGCATTGGCTACTAACCATAAGGTCAAATTCACCAGGGAGAAGACAGCTTTCTATTCCTGCAGTTACAGTCCAGGATATTCACAGAAGCAGTTCTACCCTGTCCTATAGGGTCACTTGTGAGGTGGCATCCACTCAATGGCAGCGAGTTTGGTTTGATTTTTAATTATGTAAGGTATTCAGATTCTTCTCCCTCTAGATCAGTGGTTCTCAACCTTCCTAATGCCGCAACCCTTAATACAGGTTCCTTATGTGGTAGTGACCCCCAACCATAAAATTATTTTCATTGCTACTTCATAACTGTAATTTTGCTACTGTTATGAATCATCATGTAAGTATCTGATATGCAGGATATATTTTCATTGTTAAAAATTGAACATAATTAAGGCATAGTGATAAATCACAAAAACAATATGTAATTATGTATTGTAAAATATTTCTATAGACAAATAAATGAAATTTTGTCTTGAAGCATGGTGTAGCATGGGTAACAGTCCTCATGCCGGGTACTCTTAAGTGGGCGTATCT